TATGTGACAGTATTGGGCACTCACAGTTATCTCCCCGTACACACTCATGGCACGTTGAATATCAGCCCGATCCATGTGCGGATTCTGCAGGTGCAATGGTAGGCGAAAACCAGTCAGATATGGATAGAATTGACCACGAAGGGTCGTCGGTCAGACTAGATTAAATGAATGACAATCATCAATACGAATGGTACCGGAACAGGTGATGATACAAAGTCTGTGATCTGAAGATCCCATATCAGGGCTGATTTTGAAAAAAAGGAGATTGGTTATAGGAGAGAAAGAGATATAAAATACATTGTAATGGGAAAACTTTCAATAAACAGAACAGTCACTGCCGTTCATTTTATCCCTGCTCGGAATATCATCATGCATTTGGTACTTTAGTGATTTTATTTTTTACTTTCCGATTATGAACGTACACACTTAAATGTTTAAAATAACAATTTAGTCCTGTATAGTACATTGATATAACGAAACATAAAGTATTCGAATAAGTAGTTAACCAATAAATGTTTACATGAGGCCACTGCAATGGCCTAAGAAGAATCAATATGGTCGAGGGCGTGTCCCGGGTTGGGGATAGTCACCCTTCCCTTGCACCTCGAGGAATGCTCCTATGCGACCAGGCGTCTCAAACAGCCTCTACTGAGGAAGCCCTACTCAATGCCTTCTCGTGATAGAGAGGTTTTCCCACCAAAGTGAGAGGACGAAAAGTCAATCGCCGAGGCTATACCCGGGTCGATGAACCATTAGCAGTTCACCTAGGGGAGTTGGCTAAAATCCAACCAACAAACCACACTCAGCCACAGTGGTCACCGACTCCAGTGGGCCTCGAGGTGTATTGGGCAACTTGGGCGTTTAACCCCGTCCAAAGGGTGTGTGATTCTATGAACTAGACAACGGCCCCCAATGGATTGCGGTTTTACCACACCATCCCGCTGCCTTGCGGGTAGGGTTTTAGCTAGCCGATGGCTTCGATTTGTAATTCACCTGCCTTGGCCTGGACAACCCGTATGTAAATCACGAACCTTTTACCTTTTTTATGAAGTTTATTGTACCGTGATTTTTCTGGCATATAACCTGGCTTGAGATGCGTGTGAAATGTAGAAATATATACCAGTGCAATGTATTTGCTAAACAGATCTAAATATTATCCTCCTGTGCAAGCTAGAGCAAAGCGGTGAGTAGTGCAGCTTCCATTTTCTTAATTTTTCAGCAAAAGGAAAGCGGTCTATGATAGGGTTATCACACGGTAATTGAAAGTTACATTTCGATTTCGGGCACAAAACCGCGGGTACACTTGAGGCTTCGTTCGGATCATCAGTAAGTAACAGTTCGGGTTGGCGATCAACCTAGCCGTATAATAGATCGTTGTGAACGTGGGGGTTGCCCTACTGAAGTGCATCAAGCGATGAGATGAGCGCGCTGCTCGGTGACTAAGTAAGTAGTGCGCTTATATGATGCCTTTACCGTTATGAAGGGGAACGCAATCATAGCAATACTTTACAGAAACTGTAATATTCGTACGAGGCATACTGCTTTTGCCATATGCAAGAGCAAGCAGTTTATGGCTCAACAAAAAATACAATTGTGGCTTCATGGATCAAACAAGACGAAACTTAAAAGAGGAAGAATCAATGAGAATGAATAACTGTGCAGAACAAACCTCAAGATATCGTTCCATTTCCTTCAACAATAAAGGATAACGCCCCAGTCGATCGAAAACCAAGGAGAGTTGCTGTTTGCACCGGGATGGTTGAAATTTCACCCCACATGAGGACATGTGGCGCTCAATAGCATCGCTATAATTGCAATACAATTTAAAGGAAACCAGATATAAGACAACATTAAATCGTAAAGCCATCCAGATGATTGGATCAGAATTATTATTTGACATGAAATTGATTCTATCTACAAATTTCGATTCGCTTTATGTCGTTGGACAGCCTATACTAAAAGGAGCAAGCCCCACTTTAACAACGATTGCTACAAGTGCCACCAATCTAAGTAATATGTCACAACGTGGGAGGAAACATCTAATTCCTGCAGGGTATGTGCGGGATCACGTTCAGCCATAGCTAGTTGCTTGATAACGATATTCACAAGTATAATAAAACAATGTACCCGTGCAAGTACTCAATTATGAAACGCGAACATTAAGAGCCTTTTTAGTCTTATATACCAATAGGGTGAGAACTGAAATCCGCAAGTACGAGAAACATAAGTTAAGGAGTTTTCACAAACTGATCGTTTCAAAATTACGTTATCTCCCATCAACGGCATCGTCTCTATACATACATACATACATACCACATTGCAAATTACAGTACAAATGAAAATCTCCACAGTAAAAAAGTATACTGCAAAAGTGAGGCTGGGGAAACATTCACGATCCAGCTTATAGATTATGCGTTTGAAAAAGTGAAAGGTTGTAAGGTGACGGAGTAATAGAAAGTAGGAGGGTGTTTCATAACTCGGTAGTTCGGAGGAAAACAGTTCACAGTAGAGAAGTGCGGCATTTGGTGACCGAAATTTGATGAATACGACCAGATGCCTGTGTATGTTATGGGTGGGCAGAAGTTACAGGTAGGTAAGCTCCGAACAGCAAAATCCAAAATAGCTACGCTAAAGAGAGAACGATGGGCTAATGACTGTTGATCCAAAGTTGGAAAAGTATCTCCGACCGGCCGGATGGACTTTTGTCGAAGACGATCAATAATGGGAAGAGAAGACAGCGGATTTGAGCTTCGTGTAGTAGATGGGCTGAAGTGACGGTGCGAAATAAAAAACATCGAGAAGCAAGCTGAGATATGAAAGGGGATCAGCATAAAGAAGTTATAGGTATGCAAGAAGGGAGCTACAGCCTGCGGAACGCAGTTGGGAGGAAGCAAAAGCCAAGTGGAGAGAAGAATGAATGGGATTTTAGAGAAAGTGACAGCGGTTTTGAAAGCATTGAATACAATATAATTGTCGTTGCCCTAGGAGGAGATGCATTCAAGATCAGACTTCTGCAGCACGTTAACTGCACTACGGTCACGATGGATGTTGATCTTGGCATCATAAAAAGTGTGGTAGGTGGAGTAGCGAAGGACGACGTCGTCGGCAAAAGAAGGGATTGGGTTAATTTTTTTTGGAAAGAAGAAGATAGAGGGTGGATGCAAGTAATGAACCTTGAGAAAACTCAGCATTCACAGGAAACGGTTGAGGTAGAAAGCCATCAAATCAAATAGATATGGTCCGATTACTGAGGACACTTGACATCCACAATAAGAGAACCGGAGGCAAACCGAACATAAGCAGTTTTCCTAGTAGACCTCCATGCTTAAATTGGTTGAAGGCTTTTGAGAAATCTAATGAGACTAAGAGTTTTTCTCTGTGGTTATCGATTGAGACAAGAGTCAGCAGGTCATCGATAGAACGACGCTGTCAGAATCCACGTTTGGGGAACGGATGCAGTTGATTGAAGATAATGGTTTCGAGGACTTTCGAAAAGAAATTTTGAGAGAAATGGGTCAGCAATTATTGGGATGACAAAAGTCATCGCGTTTTGGCGCGTTTGCAAGTGGTCGGAAAAGCGGAAAGTTGGAGCTAACACGGGAGCACATTGAAAATGATGGATATGATACAGTCCGAACAAGCTTTTTTCCTTGCATTTAGAGAGCGCAGTACTTGGCGGATCGTCCTAAAGGTAGGAGAGGGTTGTCAGTGACATGAGGTGGTGGATGAGTAGGGTTATCCGGTAAGACGGAGTTGCCGATAAATTGGGAAGCAAAAAATTTGTCTTCTCGTTTGGTTGATATACAAAACCAAAGGAATGACAGATAACAGGAAAGTTCGAAAGACGGAAATTGCGAGAAGTGAGTTTAGCA